GAGGGGTTGTGGGGTGTTTTTTAACATGTGGGTTCATGAGCCCTCATTGAGTGTTCACACTCATTAAATACCCAATATGCATATTCAGCTCTGGCTCAACAGTCAAGTAAAAGGCTTTTTCATTACCTTATAGGAAGCCAGCAGTCAAAAATGTCTGTGTATATTCTGAAACTGCTTCTCCATTATTCACTTTTAGAAGCTGGCTCACCAAGCTTCCATGTTGATTGATACCAGGAAGATCACATGGCACATGATCCAAGGACTGGGACCTCATTGGCCAGGTTCCCCTTCCCCCCAGGTCCCCACCACTGCACTTAAAAAATTTTCAGATGACCCATGAACTCTTAGTTGGCAATCACATAGTTGGGCTGTTTAACAAGCAAGACATTTTCTTTTTTTTTTTTATTAATTTATTTTGATTTATCAATAATCACTTCGTATGCTTTTGAGTTTAAAATTTTTCTTCCCCTTCCTCCCCACCACCCTCCCCAAGACGGTGCACAATCTGATACAGGCTATACATTTATATTCAAATTAAACATATTTTCACATTAGTGATGTAAGTAAATATTAAAACCAGTAGGAGGTATCATCAGAAGGAGGAAACAAAGCTCAATGGAAGAGATAAAAAAATAGCAGTTCAACATCCATAGTTCTTTCTTTGGATGTGGATAGCATTTTCCATCACAAGGCCTCTGGAGATGTCTTAGATCCTTGTATTGCCAGGAATGGTTAATTTATCAATATTAGTCATCACATAACATGGCTGTTATTGTGTACAACATTCTCTTGGTTCTGCTCACTTCACTCAGTATCAGACCATACAAGTCTTTCCAGGTTTTTCTCAAGTCAGCCTGTTCATCATTTCTTATAGCACAATAGTATTCCATCACATTCATATACCACAACTTTCTCAGCCATTCCCAAATTGATGGGCATCCTCTCAATTTCCAATTCTTTGCCACCACAAAAAGAGCTGCTATGAATATTTTTGTACATGTAGGTCCTTTTTCCATTTGTGTGACAAGCAAGACATTTTCCAGTAAGACTTGCACTGTCTGAATTACTCACTATGGAGCCTCCTGAAAGAGATCTGCGATCACTCAGAGGAATATGAAGAAGTTCAAAAAAGAACAGGAGTAAGGATGTTATAAAGGAATAGTGTGATAGGGAAGAGAATGTGGTGAGAAGGAACGATGACAGATTGATGGCAAAGTGCTAGACAATAATCTTGGGAAAACCTCTAGGCATTGAAAATCAATCAAGAATTGTCTATTCTCCTCTTAACAAGATGCCATTCTGTGTATAATACTCAATAGGACAAAAGATAGGATCCAATTGATCAGTTAACAACCTCCTTTGCTATCAGTACCCCTTACATGCTTATTTAGGGTCTTCTGGCGACAGGACTCACACTATAAGAGGAACTGATAATGGCACCATAGCAGGGAGGCTGAGGAGATGGTCAGAAGGCAAATGCAATCATACGGTGTCTCTTAACATCTTATTCTCACTTTGGGAAGAATGGACTTGTTATTTTTCTGTAGCTTTGGTCTGTAATATCAGAGGTAGGTCTCACCCACTGGGTTGGCAAGTTTAATCTATCTCAGCTTAGGGCTTTTAGGCAATGGACTGTTACTCTGGGCTGGAGGAAAGATTCTGTGGTCAGTGCCTGTGAAACTTGGCTATTCCCATGTCTGAATGTTCTGTATTTAGGGGAAGTTGCTTTGGGAAACTGATCTGATGATATGATAATCTCCCTGAGATGACATCCGGAGATGCCCATATTCCTCTCTCACAGTGTGCAGATGTCAGGAATGTGATATTTGCCTGTCAAAATAATGTCGCAGGTGAAATAAAAATTAACCTGATTAGTAAGAGAGGTTGGCTATGTTTGTCGTTAATTCCTCCATGGTTTTGATGGGATTTAAATGCCCAGTCTTATGTCTCTGATCGGCAGTTCCCCATCAAATCCCAGGGCTCAGAGGAGAGGATGTTCCCAGCGTACAGATAGACAATAGTCTACAAATCGTTAATATGAAGGATTTTTTAATATTCTTCTACCATGATGAGATGATGAAAGGTGGGTGGGAATGGGGTACAATGATGTAGAATGCCACAGGGCCTTTGTTCTATTTGGTCCAGGGAACAGTTAAGGCTGATTTAGGGTTTTCTCCATTGTTTTTGCCTAGTGGAAAATGGTTCCAGCTTAGTCAGAACCATTCTGGTTAGTTCAGTGTGGCTTTGACCTACTCAGAATGGTTTTGATTGATTGAAAGCCGTCCCACTTAGGTCAAAAGTACTCAAAATTGTTCTGACCAATACAATCTGATTTGACAGAGGAAGAAAAAGAGGGATAGTTGCTATGGTAGTAGGGTTGACACAGGAGAAAACTACTTAACACTACCCTGCCTGACTCTAGAATTCCCAAGATTACTTTCTATCTCCTGAAATAATTTTCTCAGCCATGTTGTACAATATGTATGGTAGAAATAATTCCCTATCTAGTCACATCTTGGTTGAGTACTGTTATCCTGTCAGTCAGTCAATTAGTCAATAAACATTTATTAAGTGCCTAGCATGTACCAGGCATTGTGTTAAGTGCTGGGGATACAAAGAATGGCAAAAGAAAGTCTCAGAAACCTCACAATGTAATGAGGGAGACAACATGCAAAGTCCTATATAGGATAAACTATTTATTATTAAGTCCTATATAGGATAAATTAGAAATAATACAGGGAAGGCACTAGAGTCAAAGGCGATTGGGAAAGGCTTCATGTAGGTGGGATTTTAGCAGAAGCTTGAAGGAAGCCAGGGAATAAAGAAGGTGGAGATGAGGGAGGAGAGTATTCCCAACATGGGAGACAGCCAGTGAAAATGCCCAGAGTCAGGAGATGGAGGGTTTAGTTCAAAGAATAGCATGGAGGTCAGTGTCACTGATTAAAAGAGTAAATAGGCATGGAAGGTGTAAGATTTTAGAAGATGGAACAGGTGGTGGTGGCAGCAAGTTATGAAGTGCTTTGAATACCAAAGGATTTTATATTTAATCCTGGAGGTGATAGGGGGCCACTGGAGTTTATTGAGTAGAATAGTGACATGGTCAGACCTGCATTTTAGGAAATTACTTTGCCAGCAGTGTGCAGGATGACCTGGAGTGGGGAGAGATTTGAGGCAAGGAGACTTATTAGGAGACTGTTGTAATACTAGGTGAGAGGTGATGAGGACCTGAACTAAGATTGTAGCTGTGTGAGTGGAGGGAAGGGATCAGATGTGAGAGATGTGGAAATAGAAAAGGCAAGTTTGTGCAACTTTCAAATTGACCAGATACGTGGTGTGAGAGAGAGTGAGGAGTTGAGGATAAAGCCCACATTATGAACCTGGAAGATTAGACAGATCATAGTATCTTCAATAGAAATAGGGAAGTTTGAAAGAAGAGAGTTTTTTTGGGAAGAGATTTTAGTTTCAGATTTATTTAATTTGAGATGTTTCTAGGACATTTGGGTTGAAATATCCAATAGGTAATTGATGTCATTCTGAGGTTCAGTTTTCTCTGTCTCTCTGTCTCTCTCTGTCTTTGTCTCTCTGTCTCTGTCTCTTTCTTTCTTTCTTTCTTCCCCTCTCTCACCTTCTGATTTCTGAGTCATCTATACAGAGATGAGAATTAAAACCATAGGGGTTGATAAAATTACCAAGAGAGAGTATCGAGAGAAGAAGACATGGAACCTTGGGGTAAACCCCTGATTCTCAGTCACCAATTATCACGGGTGAAGGTCCAGTCCCTGAGCACTAATTAGAGGAGTTTTCTGGGTCCTTTCAGTAAGGTGCCAGGGCCATGCATACCTCCATGGAAGGTGCCCTTCAGACAAAGTCTGTGCCCTGTGATTTCCTTTAATTGATTAGGGAATTTATCAAATTTAAACATCTCTGTTTTTCCCATACTGTTTCTTCATCAATTACATGAAGGAGGTCAAAGGACTGTAGGATCATGAGATTATAGGTTTAATTGGACTCTAAGAGTGCCTCCAGCTTGGATAACCAGTTCTTTAGAAAAAAAATATACTCATGATGCACTTTTAAGTTTGACATGCATTACTGATATTTTTCCATCATTTTATTAAGTCTGGAAGATCAGCAAAGTAATACACCAAGCCTTAACTTGGAATGTTTTAAAATTTCTGAAATTTAAAGATATACATAGAAAATCACATTTAACAATCAGCTCTCTTCTGGCTGGTTCAAAGTGACTCTGGCACACCTCTAGGTTTAAACTCCACACACTACATACATAAAGATGGAGCTAGAAAATTGGGGTAGAATGACAGGCATTTTCAGAGACCTGTACTCATGATCAGATGCTTCAATTTGGAACTATGCCCCAAAAGTAACTAATTATGTATACCCTTTGACCCAGCAATACTTCTGCTAAATCTGTGCCCCAGAGAGATCAAAGAAAAAGGACCAATCTGTACAAAATCATTTATAACAACTTTTTGTAGTGGCAATGAATTGGAAGCTAAGGGGATGCCCATCAATTGGGGAATGGCTGAACATGTTACGGCATATGAATGGGATGGAATACTATTGTGTTGTAAGAAATGATGAAGGGGATGGTTTCAGAAAAAAAAATTGAGAAGACATATGAAGTGATGCAAAGTGAAGTGAGCAGAATCAGGAGAACAATTTACACTGTAACAGCAATATTTTAAAGAGAATTAGCTGAGAAATACTTAGTAACTCTAGTCAACACAACAACCCACCACAATTCCTAAGACTCATGATGAAAAATGCTATTCACCTCCAGACAGAGAACTGATGGACTCAAAAGTGCAGACTGAAGTCTATACAGAGTTTTATTTTTCTTTTCTTTTCTTCTCTCTTTTTTTTTTTAGAGCATGGCTAATGTAGAAATTTATTTTGCATGACTTCATATTTGTAATGAGTTTTTAATTTCTTGCTTTCCCTATAGGTGGGGGAGAGAGAAAGAATCTGGAACTAAAAATAAAATAAAATTGAATTTATTTCATATTAAAACAAGGTAAGATGCTCCATTGTTATGAGAGTTGGGGTGTATTTGTATGTGTGTGTGTGTGTGTGTGTGTGTGTGTGTGTGTGTGTGTGTGTGAAGAGAGAGAGAAAGAGAGACAGAGACAGAGAGAAGTTGAGAGAAGACAGGCTTGATGAAAAGGTTACTGTATAATGTGCTTTTTGCTTGAGGATGGAAACTTTGGGTATCTGCTGTCTTACTGGCTCCTATGACTACTAGAATGGATGGGGAAGGGTTACTACCTAATTTAAAATTTTTTGGATTTAGGTAGTGAGTATGTTGGCAAAAACTTTATGTTTATTGCCGAACAACCTCTGGGCCTTTATTTCTAGTACCCTGGTATCTAATTAATCCTACAGGGATTTGATATATTACTGTTACATTAATTTGTTGTTTCAGCTGTTTTTCAGTTGTGTCCAACTCTTCATGACCCTTTTTGGGTTTTTCTTGATAAAGATACTGGAGTGGTTTGTCATTTCCTTCTCTAGCTCATTTTACAAATGAGGAAACTGAGGCAAACAGGGTTAAATGACTTGCCCAGGGCCACACAGTAGTAAGTGTCTGAGGCCAGATTTGAACTCAAAAAGTTGAGTCTTTCTGACTCCACACCAGCACGCTATCCACTGCATCACTTAGTTACCCCACTGTTGTATATGTGTTACCTAAAGGAGTGAGTCTCTAATGGTGAAATTTCAGAGATCAGTGACTGACTGATAGAGAGGAATATGGGGTAGGATATCTTTTTGACACCTCTCTAATAATATAAAACATTTTGTAGCTCACAAATAATTATATACACATGAACTACTTGATCAAAGAATAAAGCTAGCTTCGCCACATCTATAAAATGTATGTTCAATTTCTGATTGGTTGACAGTACTGAGTTTTTGGAATATTCCAAAAGGTCATAGGTTTGAGCTCAATATTGCTGATTCTGCAGAACACCTAATTTATTAATTAATAATAGACGGTGAGCTCTCCTTATATTTTCATTAGCCTAATAGCCTTCCCAGCATGACTCAAATTTAACTGTAGACATCATTACAACTTTTTATGAAATGATTTGAAGGGCTATTAGGTGCAGCTCATGAAACACTTTCTCGATTAGCCAGCTCATCTGTATGAATAACTTGGCAGCTGAGCCAGAGACGTCCCAGGAAATGCTTGGCTTTTGATTTCATTAAACAGTTTTTAATCACCTAGAGGCTGATGGCCTTTCTGGCTTTGATAGGATTTGCTTTAATAGCTTATGTTTGTATGGCACTTTATGATTATAAGATAGCTAGGTGGCCTCATGGATGGAAAGCTGGACAGGGAATCAGAAAGACTTGATTTCAGATCCTGCCTCAGACATTTACTAGTTGTGTGATCCCTGGGCAAGTCATTTAACTTCTGTTAGCCTCAATTTCCTTATCTGTAAAATGAGAATAAGCATAGCACCCACTTTCCAGGGCTATGAGAATCAAAAGAGATTTGAAGTGCTTTGTAAACATATATATCAATAATAAGTTGCTATATAAATGCTAGCTATTGTTGTTGTTGTTTGTTTTTTGCTTTTGAAGAGGACCGATGACATCATGGGGTGATATCTTGATTCATAAATGAATTGCATTTAAGTGATGCAGAGTTGCACAGTCATCAGCCTCATTCTCTCTTCAGAGTCATCAAAGTCCAGTAGCAAGACAAAAGTCAGGATGACTAGTGGCTTGGGATGCAGTGGATGACCTTGGTGTCTTGGATATCAGACCAAGCTCTAAGAACTCCAGAGTGCCTGCTTCAGCTGCCTTCATGATTGTTGGAACAAATTGTTCTCATCCATCCATTCCACTGGGCAAAGTCTTCACGTGCTTAGGGTAGATAGCTACTAACTCACTAATGAGTTTGAGGCCAGTCTGGTTACCCTCAGCCTGGTTTAGCCCATTTGCTGAGATGGTTTCTGGCGTATGGCTGTTGTGCATGCCATAGCTTCTTAGAGCCACAGGGGAGAGCTGGGTGACAGGTGGACACCAGAAGTGGATAAGCAGCCCTGAAAAGGGCTCAGCAAGCTCTCACACCAGAGGTGCTAGTCCTCCCTGAACACCCCATACACCATGCTAGCTACTATGATTATACCAAAGTATTTCCCTCATAATAGCCTTGTGAGCCTTGGTTAGCTGTGTGACCTAGAGCAAATCACTTCACCTCTATGAGACTGTGCCCTATGCCTTTCATCAATTAGATCCCCTACTGTGGAAACAGGAAAAAATACGGGATTTCCAAGAATAGCATATACCCCATTATCTCTCCTTTTTTAAAAATCGGAATGACATATGCCCTTCTTCAGTCCTGTTGCCCTTCTCCTATTTTCCATCTTTTTGTTCAAAGATCACTGAGAGCACCAACATTCTTCCAATACCCCAAGATGTAGTTTGTGTTTGGTCAGAGGCATCTAGGTGTCTCTTATTCATTATTCATATTTTGGTTTCAATCCTCCGTTAGTCATTTTTGTTCTACCCTTCCCAGCTCAAAGACCACTCTTCTTGGAAGAGAAAACAAAGTGAAAATTGAGCAGTTTATCCCTTTCTCAGTTATCCATGAACACAACCTCATCTCTGCTCAGCCATGGCCCTATTTTTCTTTGAGCCTCCTCCTGCCCCCAGTGTAGCTACCTCCCCCTCCTACTTTTTGTTGTCCTTATCTACTCCTAGTCACTTATGGGCTTTATCACTCCTGATATTATTCCCTTTTTCCCTGGTATTATTCTTAAGAGACTACGTGAAACAGTTACTTTCCAATTCATCCTCCAGACAGCTGCTGAAGTGATTTTTGTAAAGAATTTATCTGAGTACATCACCTCACATCCCTCTACTTAATAAATTCCAGTGACATTCTATTACCTTTAGATTAACTATAAATACCTCCATTGGTCACAACCTGATGTCTAACTATCTTTCCAGTTTTCTTACATATTTCTCTCCTCCACTTCTACTTACTTTACAGCCCAGCCATACTGCTGGCCTTTCACTCTTCTTCACAAGTGGTGTTCCCTCTGCTATCTCTGTGGCTTGCACTGTCTGTTCCCCAAGCCTGCAATGCTCTCCCTCCTAGCCTCAGCCTCTCAGAAACGCTATCTTCCTCAAGCACCAGCTCTTGCAGAAGGCCTTTCTGGGTTTCCCCACCTGCCAGTTCCTTTTCCTTCTTGTATTTACTTTGGATATATCTGGAATATACTTGTCTATTTGTATGTTTTCTCTCCCTTTAGAATGCAAGATTCTGAAGGCAGCGACTGCTTTTTTTCTTTTTCTTTTCTTTGTATTCCCAGTGCTTAGTACAGTGCCAAGCAAATAGGTGGCACTGGATAGAAGAGGATAGAAGACTGGATTTGGAATCAGGAAGATCCATGTTTATGAGTTCAAATCTGGTCTCAGGCACTTACTAGTTATATGATCCTGGGCAAGTAATTTAATCCTTTTTGCCTCAGTTTCCTCATCTATAAAATAAGCTGGAAAAGGAAATGGCAAACCACTCAAGAATCTTTGCCAAGAAAACCCCATATGGGGTCATTAAAGAGTTGGATATCACTGAAATGATTGAACAACAGTAAAGCAAATAACAAGTGCTTTGATCCTCAATTACCTACCTGCTTTTGCTTCCATTTTCTGCACATCTAAAAAATCTTAGCTGGCCAATGAACTCCCTGTGTAGCCATACTGGTCTTTTTAGGCAGGCCCCCCTCTTCTCCTGCATTATAATCATTGCTTCTTGCCTACATGCACACTTTGTGTTTATTTTGAATTTATCCATCTATTTGCATGTTGTCTTCTTCAATTGAATGTGAGCTCCTTGAGAGCAAGGTCTATCTTGATTCTCTATTTGTATCCTCAGCACTTAGCACAGCGCTTGGCTTATAACAAATGTTTAATAAATGTTTTGTTAATTTATTCATTCATTTTCAAAACTTCATCCTTGAGAATTTCTCTTCTCTCTTGGACTAATTTCCCTTGTAAAATATCAGGCCATTGGATTCTATCTATTCTTTCTTTGTAACCTTTAAAATCTGTCTTCTTATACCACTGGTTGCACACCAGACTATGTGTGACTTTCTTTTCTTTTCTTGTCATGAAGCCTTTGATGGAGTGGTCATTTCTCCAAAAGGTGTTCCTGTCATTTTCTACTTCAGTAACTAGATCATCCTTGTTGATCAAAATTGGGTCCAGAATAGCCGTTCCCTTCATCATTTCCTCCACCTTTTGGAGGCTGAAGCTATCATTAATGCAAGTGATTGATTTATCGGTTGCCTGGCTTTTGCCATGGAAGAGAGAGAACTCTAGCAGATGTCTGGATAATTGAAGTCCCACAGCAGTATGAGATAATGCTTCTGTGCCAGATTTGTGATCTATGTACTAAACTTCTTTTATAATTCCTCTTTCTGACTAGGTCTGTAAGTATAATCCTACTGCAATATTGCTTCTTTTTCTCCCTCATCAGAGCCTCATTCCAAATACTATCCATTTATTTCCCCCCAGTCCATGTTCCTGTATTCGCTCACACTTATTGCCCTTTCTATATCGTCAGTGTGTAGCACACAGTAGGTGCTTAATACACATTTATTGACTGACATATATATATATCTTAATATAAAACACTATTCCATAGTTCCTTTTATCCATTCTCCTCCTTTTGAATAAAGTGTATACTTCCTGATTCATACTCTAGTCTCAGCAATGTCTATGGGATCAAATTTGCCTCTGAGGCAAATTTGAGGCCTTGGGTTTTACTGGTAGTTCTCTTCTTGAATATCTTCTGTAAATGACTGGTCTTTTGCTGTTTTTCTTCTATATTGTATTTGATACTTTCCTTGGTCCAACCCCCTCATTTTTCAGATAAAGAATATGAGGCCTTGGGAGATTAAATGACTTACCTAAGGTCACACAGCTAGTAAGTAGCAGAGACAGAATTCTAATCTAGGTCTTCTGATTCCTCATCAAGGCAGTTTTCAAAGTAGTATTTGG